TAGCTTGCAAGCTGATCGCATCCACGACGACAAAGAAACTTGGCTATGCCTGGAAGCCATTGTGTCCTTATCTCGCATTCCCTTCCTGGAATCTGACATGTTACACTTTTGATTGGTGGATCGCACAATCCTTCGAGTGTTGAAACAAAGGAACGAAGGCGCACGTGCGAGCTTTAAAGGCAAAGGGCAGGGAAAGCGCCGAGCCTGAGCCGTTTGCCTGAAGTTTAGCTGCTCCAGCAGATGTTCGGACCTCAACTCCTTTGCCTTCAATTCAGGAGCTCGGGCTGTCGCCTTTTGGATTTATGGCAGAGGTCAAGGTGTGCAGGTTTCTCGTTGATGTTGACCATGGAGCCTTTCATCCTTAAGCCATGCATGGTATCCAGAGTGTGGGCAGTTGACTGTTGATTCCGGCTGCTGGGTCTTAGCTTTGAGCTCGGCTTTTGCGGTTGGGGGTTGCAGGCTTTGCGTGACGGGTCAGCATTGGTTGTGTGTGAAAATGGGATAAGATGCAGGAGGCAATTTCTTGAATGTTCTTGCTTGTGGTAGAGATATTCTATTCGAATCGCACGCATGCTCCTCCCGGACTTCGCTTCGTTTGGTGATGTTGTTTTTGTCCTCCCGAAACCATTAGCCACCAGACCCCCAAACGCAGATGATTCGATCGCCGAAGCTTAAACCCTTGCTCAAGACTCAAGGTATGAGTAGTTCCTATGCTCGTTTAGTTTATCAGCGCCTCAAACTCCTGATTCAGTATTTGTGCTGCCTTAGGGCTTCAGGCTTTACGTCTAGGTTCAGTCAGTGGAATGAGGGTTTGCGATGGAAATTTACATGCAAGTTTTTCTAGCGGATGAGGTTGTGGAGATTGTGCCAGTTTCAGAAAGTCTTGGCCTCAGCACGGGTTTAAAAACGGGGACCGAATTCAATTTAGAGTCTTATGTGCTCGCCTCATGTACGTTTTGTGTCGTGTCGTTTTCGTTCAGTGGATGTGCTCCGTTTGAGCACAGGTGGAGCTCGACTTGTCCTCACTGGGCTTCGGCGGTGTCAAGAGGCGGCTTGTTAGCAGACCCTGCTGGGTTGCACATGGCAGACTACAAGACATGGATGTCTTGTATTTGTTGTTGCCAGTGTGACTGCTACTTTGTTTGGGCATATGCTACGCCCATGTTGCAGTTTTGATCCCACACCGCTAAAAAATGTGCGACTGCTTTCATGACTTGATGCTTAGGGTGGCTGGCTGGTCCACTGCGCTGTAAGTTCTGGTGTGTAGGGGTTGCCTGCGTTATTGCTAGCAACGTGCATCATAGTTGTCTTTGCGCTTGTTTGCGCCCGCTCAAGTTACAGTTGGGCCATTGGTCCATAGGTGATTGACGAAAGAACGACAGAGAACTTACAATGTAACGTGCTTGAAAAAGAAACACGTGAGGGCCATGGTGGTGTGGTATACAAGAACAGAAAAAAGTGTGGGGCCACAAGGAAGTTTGCTAACACATCTGAGGCTGGGGCGCAATTTTACTGAGACTCAGGCTCGCTGTGTGCGAGCGGAGAAAAAGTGGCCGTGGTGCTTTGCCTGTTTCGCTCGGGCGCACGCCTGTACCAGAACCACAGCACATCGCAAGGTTGGGGATTTGACATGCTGTTCCGAGGCCTCATGTGACAGCTTCCTGGCAGATCCTGGGAGCACTGCACCTGTGCAGTGCATTCGGCTGATGCCTTCGGCCCCTGTTGCACGTTCGACGCTGCTGAGGCTTTAGACTCGCTGCTCATCGGTGTGGCGTTCCCTCCTGTTCCCAGCGGCGTGGGGATGACAGGTCTGCTGCAGATTCCAGTGATGAGGCGACCCGGAGAACCTCAGCTGACCTCTGCGCAGACTCTTGTTTTGGCAGGAGTTTGGCCATTGGGGCCCAGGCCATCTTCGTCGACCGCAACAATCCGGAGAGCAGGCAGGATGGCAAATTCAAGTGTTGTCTCGTGCGGAACGTCTCTCATATGTTAGGCAGCAGCATTTGCGGAGTCATCAGTTGTTCCCAACGCGAAGGCGCAGTTGCAAAGAGGCTATCCAAGCCAGGACAGCGGAATCCTGGCACGGACCGCCGATGATGATCTTCCCCCAGGACGGAGTCGAGATCCAATCCCTCTCCGCTGGAGTTCTAGTGCTTGGTCAGTCTTGCTGCCAACCCATCCACCGTGCATTGTGACACAGTTCTGTGCAGCAAAGGGCGTCATCACCAACGGTTTCGCACTCACGCAGTTCAACGTCGGCGCTTTTTCTCCGGGAGTGCCGGTTGTGCCTGTCTGCCTGCGGTACCCGTGGAGGCACGGGGCTCCGCAGCAAGAAAAGGGCCAACACCTCAAAAGCAGACGGCCGTGCCAAGTATCCGAGCTTACCCTGGTCAAGCAATAAAGTACTCATGGTGATAAGTGTAGCACTACACTGCGTAGAATTCTCGTAGAGTGCTGGTGGAGTATTGATACCTGATGGAGCACTAGTCACTAGTAGACTCCGAGCAGAGTACCAGCAGTGTGCCAGTAGAAAACTGGCGGAGTACGAGTTATCGTAAAGTATTAGTAGAAGAGTACTGTCGAGTATAAGTAGAGTACTATTACTGCTTGTAGTAGAGCTTTGCCAAACTAGTACTAGCGGTTACTAATGTCACTAGAGCAGTCGCGAAGCAGTACTAGAGAAGTACTTGAGCAATGCTACAGTAATAAGGGACTAGACGAGTACTCGAGTAGTATCAGAGTAGTACCAGAGATTGCCAGAGTGGTATTGTTACAGTAGCCACAGGCTGAGAGTGTGGTGCCTGCATGGGAAGGGTTTGAGCGAACCGACATTGGCATCAGATCGCAGGCATGTCGCATTGCAGGCACTACAACCCTGCCGGCTGCGGAAGGAACCATGCTTTGGGAATCGCTCTTTTGCGAACTCTGCTGCAGTTCAAGAACGAGTGCCACATCGAAATCCTGGACACGTACGTGGGGCATTTGCATTGTGCATAAACAAGCTGTCACACGATGTTGAATGCTGCAGTCGGTTGGAGAGAGGTGCGATTTTCGGTCCCGCAGAGGCACCTTCGCCAGAAGAAGTTGCAGATGACAGGTGCCCTGGTTTGCGTACATGTCTCGACTAGGTTGTTTCGCAGATTTTGCAGATGATACTGCGTTTTGCAGGTTCTTTGCGAACAACGTGAGGAGAGCCTCCTGACTGCCACATCAGGCTGAGTATTTTATTCATGCGGCCGACAATCCTCATGCCACGGGGTGCAGTCACGCCGAATATTTGCAAGGTCATTGCTGCACGTCTTGGTGTCCCATGCACAGAACAGAGCTATGAAGATGCTTTCCTAGCCTTTGGCTCACGTGCACATGTTGGCACCGACTTCGAGGCACGGCATTCTTGTGCACCAAGCCACATCACATGACACGAACAAGCAAAGTTCGAGGTGGCACGATTGAAGCAGCAATACAGCTGCAGCGCCGATGACTTAAAGGCCGTGCTGCGATCCTTCGAGAGGTACAACTTGACCCTCGGCTGGTAAGCTGACGCCTAGCACTAGGCAAACCCTCTCAAAATGGGCCAGTGCGGCGGTTTTTTGTGTGTCCCAGGAGCGACTCCGGGGCCATCGTCTACGAGGAGCTCTGTCAGGCCCTGCTGTAGACGGCGGAATGTTGAGCTCCAGGATAGGCCGCAAGACTTGCTGCAAGTAATTCTGGTGCTGACATGATCTGGCATGCGAGTAAATCGTTGTTGCGATGGCATCCAGATTCAAACGCTGAAAGAGTGAGGTTCTGGATACCTTGGCTTAGCATCGGCTCTTCAGCGTTGGTGCGAAAGCGAAGCCAAGGCCCTGTCTGGTCTTGGCCCTATGCGGGCGCCGCTGAGCCAAGAGGCCGCTGGGTTTGAGTTGCATTGCACGACGTGTGTTTTTTACCGTCGATGGCTGCAGGCTCTCTTCGCTTATTTCGACCAGGCATTGTCGCCGTCTGCAATGCCTCTCTGCTGCGACCCTGAGCTATTGGCTTTGAGGACAGAAGTGGAGCTGTCGAGTACAGAGACTTCATTCAGGCAGCTGATGCTTCTGCTTGCGCAGCGGTTCTACAGTGTTCTCTCTCATTGAGGTGGCAGCGCTGCTGTCAGGCCGCGGCTCCGAGTCGAGCCGCTTGCAGCTTGCCTTCCTTGTGGCGGCCGCGAAGCCGCAAACACATTGGCTCCTGTGCCATCCATACCGCACCCCAGCGTCTCCCCCAGGACATGGAGGGCTCTGGCAGTGCAGCTGCCAGCTTTGTAGCGCAGCTGACCGACGGCGACACTACCGTGTCGCAGGCTGCTTGTCCTGGCCCTTAAAATTTCTTCCAGTGCTGGGATCTGAGAAGCAGCGGCAGCAGAAGCAGGGCCAAGCTCGCTCCAGCCGCTCTGCAGGACCTGTCTTTTGCAGAGTTCAGAGATTTGGCTTTCTCACTGCCGGCTCTTGTGGACACAGCCTTGGAGATGCTGAGAAGGCTTTGACACACTCGACGCAAGTGTGCAGAATTGCTGTGCGGGTGACTGCTAGCTGCTAGCTTCGCAGGCAAATGCAGATTCCACGCTTCGAAGGAACAAGTGCAGTTGACAAGAAGGAGCCGTGAAGCCCGGGAAGAATCCTGCAGCTTGAGTCTATGCATGTCTATGCCGAATGTGGCGGAGACATGCTCCAGGAATCAACTCTTGGTCACGTGTACAGGTATCACTCGGTATCGCCCAAGCCAAGGTCTGGATGTTTGAATTTGCACCCCTGACCGGGCATAATGCGATGCCTGCTCACGACGTGTCGAACGAGATCGACAGTTAGACTCACGCACAGCTTTCCCTGCCCTGGCTGCTGTTGGATTGAAAAGTTGGAGGGGATCTGGTCGTCGACGGAGGCTGCGAGTCGAGGATCCACCACAGAGATCACAGGGGCAGCAACCATGGCACGTGGCACTACCAATGGCGCCACAACGATTGGCTTGTATTTTCCAGTGAGGCCAGAGATGCATTGCAGCTGCTACAGGAATCCCAGGACTGCGCCCTCAGCTTAGAGGAGAGTGGAGAGGTTTCGCGCGATTGTTTGCACCTTGAGCGGTCTGCAGTGTGCGAGGTTTTTTGGCCGCCTCATCCTTGGGAGCTGGCTGCATGCCGGGACCCCGTTCAGTTCATGCTGGCGTTCGGTGTCCTCGGAGTTGGCACACATGCGGTAGCCTGGTAGTTGTGTGGCAGTATGGCTTCAAGCAGTCGTCCAGCCCAGTCCAGTCATCCAAGTCCCGGGCTACCCTGAGCTTTCTATACCTGAGCAGATGGTGCCTCATGCTAGCGCAATCCTGAACCAGCTCGCATGATCCCGCATGCTTGTGCATCCTGGTCGCGTGCAGCGGAGCGCTTTGCACTACCAGCGCGAGGCTCCAACGCATGTAGCGGTTGGAAATGCGCTTAACTCCACTCTGTTGGAGAAGAAGCTTAGGGTGTTTCAAGGGTGTCCGCACTGGTGGGGACAGGCCAGCGGCGATTCTCGAATGTCGCGCGGCCTGACGTCACAGCGCTGTCCGAAGGCTCCGTCGTGAATGAACCGCATGCCGTGTGTGAATGTAGAGCTCAAGCGGTGGTATCCTCTGAGGCTTCCGGGCCGTGCGCGCACAACGGTTTGACGATGCACTGCGTTGCTTCCGTCAGTGCCGAAGCTCTGGCCCGTCCGGATCGCCGATACTGCAAGCGGCTGCAAATAATGTGGCTCGTCAGCAGGAGGGAAGTTTGCTGCACTTCGTGAAGGACTTAGACCCGACTGAACGCTCTGACGCTCTGTTCCTTTGCATTGTGACTCCAGGCAGAGGGCCTGCTTCTGCTTCGGAGTCCCTCGCCCCTTCCGTCCACTGGAACGGAAGACCGAGTATTTCAACCAGGACACCTGGACCTGAATCGTCGATCGTCCCCGAAAGAGTGAGATGTTGTCGCTGAAAAGTGAGATGTTGTCGATCGATGGTCGCAAACATGGGCAAGCAAGAGTTCATCAGTAATGTAGAAGTGCGCTACTGTAGCTTCAGATGCTGTTTCGCAGACCACAGGGCTGCCAAAACACACGGTGTGTGTGTGTGTGCGCCCCTCTCGCGCTCTCTCTCCAGGCCGTTATTCAAAAAGGGTTGCGATCCTCTTGACTGTTGTTGTTTTACGGACGTGGATCTCGCTGGGCACGACGAAGCCACACCACATGATCCAACAGGGCAAAGGGGAAATTCCGTCCAAGATCCACGCATGACAGACTTTAATCCGAACCAAGCCCAGCCCTCATAGTTGCACTCCGTGCTGCGGTGCTTGGCCGGCATCCAGGGTTCTCGCTTTCTTCCCAAATTTAGGGATCCAGTCTTGGAGGGAGGGGTGCCAAACCCGAATTCGGTATGCATGGCCCCGCATCGCCGCGTAAGTGGCCTCCGCCATACGTACCCCCCCCCCCCCCCCACCGGCGCTAGGTAATCACAGGGCTAAGCCAGGCCTCTCATCCGAGCAAACAGTCACTGGGATGGTGCTCGTCCGCAACATATTTTGTAACTGTCGACTCTCGCGCAATCTTCGCAACTTTGTGGCCGTGAATCTCGCAACCCTCCCCTCTTCCCCTCCCCTCCGCTTCCCCCTCCCCGCACAGATGAGAATGATGGATGTGCGTCTTGCATGCTGGTCTCAGTGGGGCTGTTGGTAGTACCTCTGCTCTTATGTTGCTCTTTCGGTACCACATGTTCATTGCTGGCGACAATTGTGCTGACCGTTGTCATTCCACGCCAAGTTTGGGTTGGGTGAAGGGGGCGCAACCAACCAGGAGGGGGGGTGGAGGGGGGGCCTAGCGGCGCTGCACCTTTTGTGTGCAGTGCAGTTCGGGGCCAGAGGCGAGCAGTCCCGCTTTCTTTCGAACTTGCAGGTTGCAGGAATGAGACATCATATGGATATCATATAGTGTCAGGCGATGTCGTCTTTGCGCCGTGGGCAGAAGATGGCTTCGAGTACGAAGCAACCATCGACAGCATCGATGAGGCATGTGGACGCCGTGGACGGGAGGAGAGCGGTCAGGGTCAGCCTCACGCATCTCCTCGTTTCGGCAGGCTAGCGAATGCTGTACAGTGAGTTGGGCAGACGGTGGAGAAACGTGTCGGGAAGCTACTCGGTGAATACCCTTTCACACACCGGTCGCACAGAGTGATCATCCGAGGTTCGCCTGCCGGCTCTGATCTCACCTCTGGGCTCGCCATGTGGAAGAGCTCTAAGACGCCATCCGCAGGAAGTCCGGCTCTGGGCTTCCAGGCCTGGCCTGGCCCTTTCCAGTCTTCGCGAGACCTATGCATCGCTTGCAAGGAGAGCCCTGCGAGCCGGTGTCATGGCTTGGATGGCACAGGCCGACGCTGGGCTCAGCCACGATGCCTACCTGGACTTGGCCGGCTCGGCACCCGACACCGGCTAGAGAGGCTGCGAAACGAAGCTTTCTTTGACAAAGGTCTGCTTTCGGATGTCTCTGCCGCAGAGTGCAGACTGGCCCTGGCGGTGCCCTTCTGGAACTCTCCGGGCTTCGAGCTTGCGAGTCTCAGCTGGCACACTCTTTCTGAGGTGACCTCTCTCTCCTCTGCCTTCTTCCGCCTCCTCCGCCTCGGCGCAGCTGCAGGCGCCATGCGCTGCAGCGCGGGCGCTGGGCGGCCGAGAGGGCCTACCGCCCGGACCCGCGAGCGCTGGCGGCCTTGTGCTCGCAGCGGGCGGAGATGCTGCGCTTGGAGCAAGGCCCGGAGAGAGCAAGAGAGAGAGATCGAGGGGTAAAAAGGCCCTCACAACCCCAGCAAACAAGCAAGAGAGACAGAGAGAGAGAGAGAGAGAGAGAGAGCCCGACTTTGCAGCTTTGAAGTCCACTACCCACGTACAACGTTGGTTGCATGTGTCATCGGACATCATGGAAGATCCCAGGTAATCTATAGTCCAATACACAGTCTGGCAAAACCTGGGGGAACCCATGTTTTTTCAGGCCCCACCGAAAGCCCCGTAACAAACGGGTGGCCCACGAGGCCGGGGGGCCTGACAAGCCCCTTAAGCCCTGCAGAAGAAGCCCGGCTTTTTGACCAGTAGCCCCACTGATCGGCCTACACCGTATAGTTCTCCTGACCGATATGACTAGCCCCTACACACTTTGTGATTTTGTACTACGCTGAACACCTTGTACTTCTGTCGGGGCGAGGCAGGTCGGAGCAGACAAGCACCATACTAGCGCCCTGTATACTGTGATCCGCATCGTACTTACACATGTGCAGGCTGTGTGTGTGCTTGTTCGGAAGCAGGGCAGGTAGCAGGAGGAGAGCGGGGCAAGCAGTAGTCCAAGCACAGAAGACCCCGAGCACTGTGATCTGCACCGTGCTACCCTACAGCATGTGTGTTTCCTGTTCGAAGCGGGGAAATAGGAGTAGGACCTCAACACAGGAGCACGCAACCGACCCACAGAGGGTGCATCACCTGTATTTCGAGTGTACACGTTGACCCAGTTGCTTTGTACGGGGCGGTGGTGCTCAGTGAAGCCGTAGACACCCCGAAGCTGCACACATGAGACTGCCGTACTACCGCGGAACATCCCGGCACGGCAGCGGGGCGGGAGCAACATAGTAGCATGGTTTGTCCCAACAATTATGGCAAGATGTTTGCAGTGTCAGTTGAAAACTCAGCTCCGCCCACGGGGTAACGAGAACCAATCGCACGTAATAGCGTGCGTACAACCAACACTCGGGCAGCTCCCGCGGAGGCTTGCCCTCAGGCCTGGGGAAAGAAAGAGAGCCCGACTTGTGCATGTGTCGACAACCAGCAGAGGAACCCTGATCATCTATAGCCTCCCAAGCCCTGCTGAAGAAGAGCTCGGCCCCAAAGCCTCTTCTGTAGAGGGTGGGGCGCCCTGGGCGCGGGTCCAGCCCTGGACCTTGACCCACAGCAAGCAAGCGAGAGAGAGAGAGAGAGAGAGAGAGAGAGCCGTAGCCATTTTGGCTCAAGCCGCGAGCGGTTCAAGCCCGTGGGGGGCCCTCCGTGAGCCCTCTTTCCTTACTTCTTCTTAGCCCCCCCACGGGACAACCAATCTTGTCCCGTCACTCCGCCTTCTCTCTCAACTTTCTTCCGACGCATTGCTGGAAGGGGAGTACGGCTTCTCTGCGTTGTTCACCTTCCAGGCTGTCCTCCGCGACTTCGGTGGCTTCGGACCAGCACGGTGACCGCTGCCTTGCCGCTTCCTTGTGGACGCTGTCATTAGCTACCTGAGCAATATCGGCGACACTTTTCTTTGCCATTTCCCGGGGAACGATTCCTGACAACCGGTACGGGTCGTACAGATTGCCCTCGTTGTGCATCGTGACACTTCCCCGACGGCACCAAGAAGAACATCGTTGCCTGCGCCGTGGCCCCAAAACCGGAGCGAACCCCTGAAGCAGCTAGGGGACCTACCCCCAAGTGCCTGCGATGTCTCAAAGGCCCTTCTTGCCATAGTGGACATGACCGCAAGGACCCAGACTGCATTCTTCATGGTTGTTCCAGCCAAGATCCGAAGGAGATGGGGGCTTATTTGCGTCAGCAGCAGATCGACGCTGAGGTCAAGAAAGCTCTCTCCAGTGGGGTAGCCCCCTCAAGCTCAACGCCGAGAGCCGCAGGCCCAGGAGATGCGACAACACCGGGGGAAACACCCCCCTCCAAAGCATCTGAAGCCCGTGTGTGTCAGAGATGCCTTATCGGTGAACGAAGCCATAAGAAGCACGATCCACTGGCAGATAACTGCGTGCTGTTCGGACTAGAAAACCCTACACCAGCCAAAGCACGTCAGCTCCTGCTAGAACAAGAGGTTCAGCTTGCCGTAGATGCTGCCCGTGAAGTTGCCGCTTCGAGGCCCCCTACCTCAACGTCCCCCCCCCCTCCCCCCCCCATACTGAGGCCAGAAAGCGTCTAGCGCTCCTGCCGACCTCGTGCCGCCATCACCGCACTCAGCTCCGGGGATGTCCCCTGCGACCTCTTCAACCTCACCTTCGAGACCTTCGATGCCGACTTCTATGCACCCCGCTGGTCCAGTTGAGCCAACCCAGGAACCAGAACCTGAATGGACCCTGCCGGTGCCAATCAGACGTTCGAACGTTTTTAGCGGGGTTACTCC